TTTTTTTTTCATACAAAACGTAGGAAGGAGCACATTATTACATTTTTTAATACAAATTTAGAAAGTAGGAAATTGCATTACTACTTTTTTGTCACGCCCCAATTTGTAAAGATTTCAATTAAATAAATTATATTTTTTTTCTTTAAGTGAGTTTTGAAAATATAAATCATTTTGAGAGATAGTGAAGATATAATAGTAATTAGGAAGCAAAGAACAATCGATTTCCCTCCAATAAATGCATTCATTCATATCATTTTTTCTACATTCAACATCTATATGACATGAACATAAACCATGTTAAACATTACATTTGTGCTGTTGGACCCATGGGGACTCATCACGGGTCTCATTTCGATAATTTGAACCGTTTTAATGTGTAAAACTTTTCGAGTACTACATGCGTGAAAAAAATCACGTTGATCGGATATCGATAACTATTTGATCAAATCAATTTTGTATTAAAAAAAAATAGACGGTGAAAAAATAAACGATTGGCAGAAATCAGATCCGATGAGATATCTATCGATATCCGATCAATGTGATGTTTTGCAATTATATTGTACTCGATGAGTTCTATACATTGAACGGTTCGAATTATCAAAACGAGACCCATAGTGGGCTCCCACAAACCCAACATCACTCTCCAGTCCGATCATGGACCGGAGGGAAACCCAGCCCAATCTGAAAGTGATATTGCTCACTTTTGTCTAGGTGCTAGTGTCAGCACTGAGTTTGTCCAAATTTGTGTTTGTATTTGTTAATTATTGCAAGTTGATTGAGATGATGAGCATGTGGAAATTAAATGACAGGATTTTCAATATGATTGTATTAAATTAGAATATAAAATAAATTGTGTTTGTTTGAGTATCACTGTATTAGTTTAATTAAGATTAAATTTATAGAATTACTTAAAAACTCTGCAATTTGGAAAGATTGACTTTTTAGTTTTTTTTTTTTAATTTTTTGATTTTTTTTTATGTCACATAACTTCTCTATTTGTTTACATAAAAAAGTTAAAAAGTTAACTTTTTACCATCTTCTCAAAATAAAATTGACAAAGTAGAAAATATAAATGATTTTTTTGAATATCTAAAATAGTGAAAATTGACACAAAAAATTTGAAACCGAATGATTAACAAAGATTTTTTTTTTTACTTTTTAATTTTTAAAAATGGCAAATGATGCAAGCCTCTTTACGTCTCCACTGTTCATCAAGTAGATTAGCATAACCCTCTAAACAAACTTCAGATGAAGTAGGTCGACAACCCTTCAAATTAAAGAGTCTTGCATGATTTTTAAAGTAAGACTATGTAATAAATACTATAGTGATTAAATTTGAACATAAAATTACTATGGTGACAGACATATCAACTACTACACAAAAATTATCTGGACTGAAAGTGATATTCCTGACTTTTGTATCTAATGGTCTAGTTGACAGAGCAAGCACTGAATTAGTACAAATTTGATTTGGTAGGTTTCAGTTACTGGGTCTTGCCAACAATTTTGTTTAGCAGTTTTTTTATTTTCAAAGGAATAACAAACGTAACCAGAGTTCAAACACAAACGCAAACAAAGAGGATTAGTTCCAGTTTTGGCCATGGCACTACATACTGATTTTCTTCTTTGTGAGTATGCGATATGGAGCTATTGCACCTTTGCAGAAGGAAATCTCGAGTCTTCAACCAAAGTTACAAGGAGAGTTCACATTTAACCCCCTCTTGGATCAACTTGACTGCTATTTCAAATGAAGACTATATCTCACAGACTATTTCCTATTTCCATGTCAATTTTATGAAGAGTGAGTTAAAGAAAATACAATCAAACTAATCAAAAGAAAGAGAGGGAAGGAAAAAAAAACTCCTTATGCGATTTTAGGAATTGTTTTGAAGATCTTTAGCTAGAATTTTGTATCAGCTACACAGGTTTTGATCTAGTAATCAGAGATAACAAGAAAGAGAATTTCTATTACAAATAGCAAAGATACAAATTTATGTAATTTTACAGAAAATATCTGGTACAAAACTTGCAAGGAGTAACATTAACTTTGACAGCAAACGCGCCAGTCAAAATTCAAAGCAAGCCTTCCAAACATTAACAGCCTTTTATTTCAATTGATTCATACAAGCAAAGATGGGGCAATTCCTAGTTAAACCAAAAGAGAACCTTCCATTACAGTGATGGCTTTCCCCCGAAGTAGTACCCTCTGAGTCTTTTCATCTAAATGGAGGTTCAGTATGCCACCTCGAGCTGATGCCTATGCCAAGTAAACAAATATAATACAATACAATTAATGAATGAAGAAAGAAAACAAATGGCACAACTGCACGAGCGCGCATGAGAGAGAGAGAGAGTACCTGATATGCAACAAAATCACATTTCCCCAGCTTTTTTGACCAATAACCTGCTAGGGCACAATGTGCACTACCAGTAACAAGATCCTGAAAAATAGCAGCAACATACGAAGGAGCAACCATCAACTCTAATGAGAGTTTTTTATAATCTGAGTATCACAATTAGTTATCCTGCAATGGAGGATTATGTTTGATATGTTATTTTAAATTGGTTTTTTTTTTTTTTTTTTTTGATCAGCTTTCCTTTACTTATTATGAACATATTTTCCCACTTCATCAAGAGACACCTCTAGAAAGATGAAAGGAACTGATTTAAATCGTGAGGTAGCTTGGGACAAAATGCCAATAATATATTACCTCATTGATCCCCATTTTAGGACCGAAGACGCGACTAAAAAAGTCAAACCCGGATCCAGGGGGAGCCGGCCCTGTAATAATGACTCCCCTTCCAGGGCATCGTTGTATTTCATCAAATTGGGGCTGTAGATCTGTAACAGCCTTTCCTGATGGGAGCACAACCTGCCAAAATGCATTTACATTCACTCTCTTTTAAGTACAAAATGAATATCCGTATATCACTTGAAGTTGACTTCCCTTTCTGAGAGACATCCATCCATGAACACACTAAAGTTTACTCAGAATATCTTAGAAATCACATCACACCCACCATTTAATTCTAAAATTGAACGATCACTCAACCTCACCTTTGGCATGATTTGCACACCCTTTTTTAATCATTTACTTCAAATACAAAGTTGCATAATTATGAATAATTAAGAAAAGAGAGCAAAAGAAATGCATACAATGAGGTCTTCTTCAGTAGTTGTAATCTTTAACTCAATCACAGAAGCACCACCCAAGGCTTTAGAAATAG